AGCCAACTTTAAAAATAATCTTTTCTTTTATGGGTTTTGTACAAAATGAGAATCATATGATACTACTTTGCCCCACTTGGTTAACCTGGCTAGAGGTTTATCAATTTTATGATCTCTCCAAAAAGTCCAGCTTTTGGTTTCATTGATTTTCTCTATTAATTTCCTGTTTCAAATTTCAATGGTATCTGCTCCAATATTTTATCTTCTGCTTGTTTTGGATTTAACTTGCTCTTCTTTTTTGAATTTGCTAAATTGGAACTTAGATTCTGGATTTTAGGTATTTCTTCTTTTCTAACCTGCATTCAGTGCTAACAATTTCCCCCTAGGCATGGCCTTTGCTGTAGCCCATAAATTTTCATCGGTTGAATCTCCATTTTCATTTAGTTCAAAATATTTAAAACTTTTTTTTGGACTCATGTTTTATTTAGAAGTGTGTTTTTTAGGGGCTCCTGGGTGGCTCAGCTGGTTAAGTGTCTGACTCTTGATTTGGGCTCAGGTCATGATCTCACGGTTTGTGAGTTCGAACCCTGCGTCGGGCTCTGCACTGACAGGGCGAAGCCTGCTTGAGATTCCCTCTCCCTCTCCCTTTGCTGCTCTCCCACTTGTGCACTCTTTCAAAATTAATAAACAAACTTAAAAAAAAAAAAAAAGAAGTGGCTGATCTTTAAATATTGTGAAAACTTCCAGTTACCTTTGTTACCGGTTTCTAGTTTAATTCTATTGTGGCCTGAGCGCATGTTCATATGATTTTTATTTTCCTAAGTTTGTTTGGGTGTGTTTGATGGCCGCAGATGTGGTCAGTCTTGGTGAAGGCTCCAGGTTGGAGTGAGAGTGTAATCCTCTGTCGTTGGATACAGTATTCTGCAAGTCTCGGATAGATCCGGTTGGCTGACTGGGCTGCGGGGCTACATCCTTACTCATTTTCTGCCTGCTGCTGCCAATCACCGACGGGGCTGCTGAAGTCTCCGGCCCAAGGGTAGATTCACCTACTTCTCCTCGCAGTTCTATCAGTTTTTGCCTCGTGTATTTTGACGCTCTGTAGTTAGCCACATACACAGTAGGGATTGTTATGTGTTCCTTAAGAACGGCCCCCTTTTGTCATGATAGAATGCCCCTCTTTATTCCTGAAAACTTCCCTTGCTCTGAAATATGGTTTGTTTGTAATTAATATAGCTATTCTAGCTTTCTTTTTTGCAGGGTTTACATGGTACATCTTTCTCCATCCCTTTATTTTACATCTATGTCTTTATATTTAAAGTGAGTTTCTTTTCCATAACACATATAAATGAGATACCTGTCTCTGACTGGTGTCTTTAGATCTTTCATGGCTAAAGTGATTATTGATATAGTTGGATTACTATCTATGATATTTGTAACTGTTTTCTGTTCATCATTGTTTTTTGCTTCCTTTTTTGTCTTTTTTGTATAATTGGATTCTCTCCTCTCATAGCATGTCAATTATATTTCTTCAAATATATTTTAGTGGTTTCCCCAAGGTGTGCAACATACATTTATAACTAACCTAAGTCTACCCTCAAGTAACACCATACTGCTTCACGGGTAGTGCAGGTGCCTTATAGCAGAGCATCCCCGGTTCCTCAACCCCACTCCTCAGAACGCTGCTGGCATGCATTTCACTCTTCCATAAGCTATCATCATTGCTGCTATTGTTATTTCGAGAAAACTGTCAGATCCGTTAAGAAAACTGATTTTCTTGTGTCTTCATTTATTCCATTTCTAACTCTGTAACTTTCTTCATGTAGACCTGAATTTTTGACCTCTGTCATTTTTCCTTCTTTCAGAAGAACTTAACATTTCTTTGGGGCAGATCTGTCTACTGATGACAAATTCCCTCAGTTTTTGTTTGAGGAATTCTTTACTTCTCCTTCACTGTTGAAGGATAATTTCATTGGATACAGAATTCTAGGTTGGTGGCTTTTTCTTTCAAAATTTTCAGTATTTTACTTCATTCTCTTCCTGCTTGTATAGCTTCTGGAGAGAAGTATGATATAGTTCTTATCCTTGTTTCCCTTTAGGTGAAGGTTTCCCCTCCCCGCCCCCCCCCCGACTTCTATTTCCTCTCTGTCTTTGATTTTCGTCTCTCTTAGTCTTTGATTTAATTTTCTCTTTGAGATTTTCTGCAGTGTGAATGATATGCCTACATATAGGGTTTTTAAAAATATTTATCCTGCTGGGAATTCTGTGAGCTTCCCGAATTTGTGGTTTGGTGTTTACAAATAATTTTGGAAATTTATCAGTTGTTAATAACTCCGAATATTTCTTCTTTCTTCTTCTGGTATAGCCATTATGTGCATGTTACACTTTTTTGAATTGCCCCACATTTTTTGGACACTGTTTTTTCCAGTCTTTCTTCTTTTTCAGTTTAAGTCTCAATTAACATGTCTTCAAGCTCACTGATTATTTCCTCGGCCCAGGGCACTATTCTTATGAGACCATTAAAAGCCCTCTTCATTTCTATCGTAGTGTTTTTGACTTCTACGTTTCCTTTTGATTCTAAGAGTTTCTCCATCTCTGCTTACATTACCTCTCTGTTATATGTTGGGTACTTTTTCTACTGGAGTCCTTAGTTATATTAATCATGGTTATTTTGCATTCTGGTCTGCTAGTTCCAAAGCCTTTGCCATCTTTGGATTTGGTTCTGGTGTTTGCTTGGTCTCTTCAGACTGCCTTTTGCCTTTTGGCATGCCAACTGACCTTTCTGAGAGCCAGCTACGATCTAGCAGGCGAACGTTACTTAAGGAAATAGGTCTTAAGTGTGAGGTTCTGTTTATCTGGACGACGTCAGGATGGGTTTACTGTCTGCTCTGGCTGCCCGTGTCAGAGGCTACAATTTCCTCTGGTGTCCTTGTTTTGTCTCCTCTGCTGCTTCCATTTCCCTAGAGACTCCTTCGTACACACGGCCCGAGAGGCACGTTTCTGTCAGTCGGAACCCTCTGTCAGACGGGAGCCCTGCTGACGTGTGGGGAGGTGGGGGGGAGAAGCTCTTCCAAAGCCTGTGGTTAGGTCTCAGTGGGCTAGTGAGCCTGTGTCCCCGGGCTGTGATCCTCACAAGTGCTTTCAGGTTTTTGTTTTCCTTCTTAAGTGAGACAGAAAGGCTAGAGGGGGCCAGAGGTGGGTACTACATTCCTTAAGGTCGGTTAGGCTGTGGTAAAACACCAGTGGGTCGGAATCTGGTAAAGCAGTGTCCTGTCTGTGCAGGCCTTTGCTAAGGAGAACTGAATGCTCTGGGAGTATTTTGGATGATTACTTTTCCCTTCCCCTTGAGGGAAGGAGGGAAGATTTTTCTCAGATCTCCACTGTGACACATGGTGGGCTCCTCTAAAACTCACAAAAGTACCTGGGACCCTCGTGGCTGGGTCTTCACAAGTTCTTCCCTCTCAAGCTAGCCCATGCTCAGACTCTAGCAATTAGCCAAACCACTCTCTAAATATGCCTACCAGATGCTGGCTGCAGTGGTGGTTTCTGGGCAGTTTCTGCCCTGGGTAAGCTCTGCTTCTCTGTATCTGCCTGTCCCCAGTTTTCAGGTCCCTGCGCCCTGTGGTCTCAATTCTCTGACGGATCTAAAAAGAGTTGCTGATTTTTAATGTTTCAGCTTTTTTCTTGCTGTGAGGATAGGAATCACCATGTTCAAACTCTACACGTTGGGAGGGGCTAAACTACATAAAAAAAAAAAAAAATTCTTTTGTATCTCTCCAGTCATTTACTTAGACTAATTAGTTTTCTAGCGGAAATTTACTGCAACAAAGTGAGTACATGTTTTAAGGGTTTTGTTACATACTGCCAAACTCCCCTCCAAAGAAGAGGTAACCAAAATAACCTACATTTATTTTTCTGCTCACAAACCTTCACTGGTCCCTCACTGGTCACAAACGATGTCCACCCAACTCTACCAAACACACGAGTCTCTGACGGTTGCATAGGGTTACTGTACAATATGGCCCTTATCTGTTTTCCGGTTTGACCTGTCACTACACCGAACCCAGTTCTTCGGTTTTAGTGTCTACAGCATGCCACGATGATTCATTTTGTTTTTGGTCAAGTCACGTCTCAATCTCGACAGTGCTCTCCCAAGTCTTCGTGGTCTTTTCAACTCAACCCGCACTCGGTTACTGCTCCCTGCGGCCTCGCCCACACAGCTACCTACCGCACAGTACTTCTAGCACACTCTGACAGGGGTCAGCGAGGCAAGGAGTTTTCAGAGAACACGTCTAGAATAGAGGGCACAGAGGACAGGCCCCAGTTTACTCTCTGCAGAGCAAAAGGGACTAGTTTAGGTAATAAAACTAAGAATTTCTAACATCATTTGGAGTAACTAAAAGTTGACGGTTTAGGGCAGAAAAGTACAGTGGATTTTTGCTTCTTATTGTATTTGTGGGTTCCCCCCCATTGCTCTCATCTAGTTTCCTTTTTTTTGCCCAATTTAAAACACCAATAGCACCAAAAACTAATATCCTGAGTAAATTCATTCTATTAAGAACCTAGTTAGTGACATTTAAAAACGTACCTATTTTTCCTCTGGCTCTTTAGAAAAACCCATATACAAAACAACTATTTCTTAGATAAATACATAAAAAGTTGAACTAAATTTGTGTCACAAAGAAGATAAAGTCTAAACAATGAGCAAATGCGTGGCACAAAGAATTGTAATTAAAATGAAGGGGCGCTGGGGCGGCTCAGTTGGTTAAGCATCCGACTTCAGCTCAGGTCATGGTCTCACAGTTCGTAGGTTCGAGCCCCGCGTCGGGCTCTGTGCTGACAGCTCGGAGCCTGGAGCCTGCTTTGGATTCTATGTCTCCCTCTCTTTCTGCCCCTCCCCTGCTCGTGCTCTGTGTCTCTCTCTCTCTCAAAAATACATAAACATTAGAAAAAATTTTAAGAAAATGAAGAAAAGCTGTTACCAATTCTGAAAAATAGAATTTTTTCAGCCTTAATGGTTGATTTTTTTTTAAAAAACTTAAAAAATCCAAAAAACAACTCACGTTCCATTTGCTCAAACATTACTGAAAAGAGGAAGTCTCGCGGTGTCATGTAATATTCGCCCTCATGTTCCAGTGAAGAAAACTGCATGAAGCGCTGTTTACGAAGGGACAGTTTTTCTCCCATCTCTCCAGAGTCGGCCATTTTCTAAAAGAAAAAGAGATTGCAATTTAAGACTTTTTTTTAGGATGAGTCCTCAACTTAACTACTTTTAACACGATCTTGAAAGAGTAGTTTCAGTGTCTAGGTCTACCAACCTCCGAATGTTTACATCGTCCGTTTAACAGCTATTTACTTGAGTGTCTACCTGCCCCTCTTTCAGGCTCGAGGAGACAATGGTGAATGACAAGACAGAGTGAGAAGATGACAACTAATGAATACACACAGAAAATCATGGAGGATAATGAGAAGCGCCAGGAAGCAAGAGCAAGCCGGGTAAAAGTCATAAGGGGTAGTATTTTAGAGAGGACGGTGAGGGGAGGCCTTTCTAAAGAGCTGACACTTACAGAGACTAAATGAGTGCAGTCATTGAGCCATGGGGCTCTCTGGAGGAAGAGAATTCTAAGCAGGGGGTAGAGTAAGATCCAAACCCATGAGATTCCCGTGTGTGTGTGTGTGTGTGTGTGTGTGTGTGTGTGTGTGTGTGTGTGTTTCTAGGTAAGCTAGAAACTGTTCAAGGAACAGTGTGGCAGTCAATAAAATCAGAGAGATGGGTAGGCAAGAGTTCAAGTACAGTTGCGCTTTTTCACGAAGATAAAACATATCATGTCTGATAAACAGCCCTGCTTTCAGAAATCTACTTACGTCACAGGTGGAAAGTGCTAAAAGGATAAGAAATGGGAACTGGTAAAATACTATTAGTACAAGAGCCTGTATATCTCAGGCAACGGCACCTAGATCTCGACTCAAACGTGGATAGGGACAATATCGAAATCTTTGTTGCTAACCCTTCGTTGAGCACTTGTCATGTGCTAGGGACTATACTAATAAAGCCTTCCACACGATTACTCAGTCCTCACCATAACTGAACAACAGATACTGCAGGAGGCATGGAGACTAAAGTCAATGGCACAGCCAGTATGAAAAACCAGAAGTGTCCCACTCGCAGTGTTTGGACCCTTACCTACCACACTCACCTCCCATCCGAGGCCGGGCATCGTATCCTAGACATATGGAAGAAGACAACACAGGGGTTAACGCAGACACCAATGTCAAGATAGCAGTAGATGCAGAAATCCGAAAGCATCCTCTCACCTTGGATTGTCTTCCTTACAACACTGCTCTGATCTGAACCACAGCATCCTCCCTGGACACATCACTTTCCTTTCACAGTTACTACCACTGAACCTATTATTTGCCCTGACACACAGTGATGTTCACTGACTAGAATCGAAAGTGGGGAAAAATGTGAATTCTAGTTGCTTCAACCTCTCCAAATTCAGAGCCAACAAAATTCTAAGTCAATAGCTCCTTTTGGGCTGATCTCAGTCCTTTGCCTAGTATTAATGCTCTCTCCTCGGTTTGACTGTTGCTTTCTTCGACCAGCTAGTTTCATACCTCTGTGGTGGTCTATGTAGTGCATTCCAGAATACTAAACATACGTACTCAGTAATACTGCAACGATCTGAACCCCTATCTTCCCCAGAACTTGTCTATTTGTGTCTTTCCTTTTATTTCTCCTTAAATTACTACCACAAAAATAACCCAAGAGTCATGTTTTAATTATATTACTCCATACTCTTATCGTAATCATCAGAAAAGTGAATTTTGGGGCATCTGGATGGCTCAGCTGGTTAAGCATTCAACTCCTGAATTCAGCTCAGATCATGATCCCAAGGTCATGGGATCGCGCCCCGTGTTGGGGTCCACGATGAGCATGGAGCCTGCTTAGGATTCTCTCTCTCTCTGTCTCTCTCTCTCTCTCTGCCTCTCCCCTACCCCACTCATGCTGTCTCTCTCTAGAAAGAAAAAAGGAAGGAAACTGGATTTTATTAACACTCCAAACATTTTATATATGAGGCAGATATAGTAACAGATAACATTATTATTTTAAGAAACTGATACTGAGTATGTGTAGGAAAACAGTGGTAAACAAGACAAATGTTAATTCCTACCAGCATGTACTAAGTGCTTTGGCAGTGAAAAAAAGGATACAAATGAGATAGGGGAGAGCGGGTAAGGGTCTTCTCAGTAAATGTCACAGCACTGCCAAAGTCCTAGATATGAGAGACAATACAGTACAGTAAAAGAATGGAAAGAAGTTAAAGGCATATATACTATTAGTTTAGAGAATAGTTCTATTTACTATACTAATATTATTGTATAGTTTATTAAGAAATTAACAAAAGTGAGTGATCCATACAAAAATATAGTGTAGTTCCAAATTCTTTTTAAAATTTTTATGTTTATTCATTTTTGAAAGACACGACAGAGACAGCACAAGCAGGGGTGGGGCAGAGAGACAGGGGGACACAGAATCCGAAGCAGCCTCCAGGCTGTGAGCCGTCAGCACAGAGCCCGACGCGGGGCTCGAACTCACGAACCGCGAGATCATGACCTCAGCCAAAGTCAGACGCTCAACCGACTGAGCCACCCAGGTGCCCCTATATTTCCAAATTCTTAAACAAATGTCTTTTTTTAATGCTTCCTAATATCTAAATTGCTCCTGACTAATTAAAAGAAGAGCTTTTTGCCCAACTTAATCCTTTTTGTGTAAACAAACTCTTAAATTTCAACCAACTAAAAGGAGTCAATTACTCATTTATGCTCCTCCTCAAATGGTTTCATAACAGGATGGACCGTTACCTCTGCGTCTCTTGGTTTTCATGATGTCCTCCCCCTTGTAGCAATCCTATTCTTTCCTGGTGTGTCAAAAATGACCAAGAAGTAAAAACAAACCTTCCACTATTTTACAGCAAGACATGAAAACTACTTGCAAAGAAATCCTATTTTTTTCTTCTAGGAGATTTAGACCCTAAAAATCCCCTATCTCATGGTTACCATTCCATATTTTCCATATGCCTGTATGTCTGTAACTTGCATAAGCATAACATTTCTGTAGAGTCTTGAGAAGAATCAATTATTCTGGGAAGTGCCATTTTAAATAATGGTCGACTGGGTTGTCATCCCTTCCAGTTTTGATTAAATATCCTCTCTAGTGAACAAGAAAAAGCAGAGGAGGTGAAACTAAGACTCCCTTTCACGGGCGGATCTCTGAGCTTAAAGTTGTCATATGAATCACAGGCCATGAATTTAGAAGGTCACTTAGAAGCACATGACCTCCAAATTTGTCCTACCACCATGACTTTATCAGCAGATGGTATGAAATACAACCGTCTGACAACCGCTACTAACACCCTCACAATTCACTCTGGTATTGTGGCTTTTAATTCCTGCTACTTCGTGGTATAAACAAACCTATTCTTTCAACTACCTACAAACCTTTCAACTCCCATGGCATTACTCCCATGGCACAATGTCTCTTTTTTTCCCTCATCCTTTCTGCCACCTCTCCCACTCTGCTTACTGAGTACACAGCTATCACTTGGAGGTCGCCACCATCGTCGATTCTAATCCTACCACTTCTCTTATGGAACACAAAGTGGAAGCTCCAAGTCAGTCTCTTCCTATTAGTCTTCCCCGCATCCTAATCCACCCTTCAAGTAAAAACTTACTGGAGCATCTACTAACTTGAGGTCTCTCTAGGAAGAGACAGGACACGTATGAGTCAAGGTGGCAACAGGATAGTAGTAAAGCCTAACAATAACAGCTTGTGTTAATATGGAGTATACGCAGGGCAGTGTGCTAACGTCTTTACAACCTTCGCGATAGCCCCAACAGCAGACATCTTTACCATCTTCATTTTACAAAAGAAGAAACCGTGGCTTGTCAAGTGTTAGCGGCTTGCTCAGATTAACACAGCAAGTAAGTCCACAGCATAGGCAGTGTGACAATAACCCCAGTCTCAACCACTACCCTATGCTCGCTCCTGTAAGACTTACAGAAGTTAGCAAAACAGAGAAAGCAGTGTGGGTAACGATGGCTGAGGAAGCTCGTGAAAACAGTGGGATCTAGAGCTAGGCTCTAGAGAATAAAAAATGACTACAACAAGAATTAGCCATATTTAGGCCTGGGCTAACTGTTGTCCATTTCCTAAATGTTAACTATGGCTTCTCTCCTTCAATCAATGTAGGATTTCTAATGTTTCTTTGCTACAATGAACTTTACCTAGGGGGGGAAAAGTACTGTTTTAAAATCACTAGAACCTTTATAATTCCAGGTTGATGAACCAACAAATTAGTTTTATTTAGGTCACCTTTACCATACAGTAGCTGAATTTTAAGTTCAGTTAGTTAGTTAGTTAATAATCTCTACACCCAACATGGGGCTCAAACTCATGGCCCCAAGATCAAGAGTTGCACACTCCTCTGACTGAACCAGCCAGGCACCCAGTATTGAATTTTAAAAACCACTAGCATAGTTGATGTGCATATATATATATATATATATATATATATATATATATATATATATGTATGTATATGCTTACTTCACAGAATTTAGATGACAAACCTAGATCACTGAAGTATAAACATAGGACACATAATGTTACATTTAATTTGCCATTTTTAATCTTTTATTTACCTGTCAGGTTTATTCCTGCCTTCCTTCATTTGTGTAACCAATTCTGATCATATTTCAGACTTACTGGATGGATTTAATTGTCAAGAATGAACAATTTTTCCTTCCTCCCCAACTTTCTTTCATCTGCGTTCTTTTCCTACACACGCTTGCATGCTCTTTTCCCACCTTCCCTCTTTCCTTCTCTTACATGTTTCAGGTGGATTTATTTATTTATTTTTAAAGGTTTTTAAAAATGTTTATTTATTTATTTTGAGAGAGAGGGAGAGAACGAGAGAGAGAGAGAGCAGGGCAGGGGCAGGGAGAGAGGGAGAGAGAATCCCAAGCAGGCTTTGCACTGGTAGCACAGAGCCTGATGCAGGGCTTGATCTCTTGAAATCATGCATGACTGAGCTGAAAATCAAAAAGTCAGATGCTTAACTGACTGAGCCACCGAGGGGCCTCTTAAAGATTTTATTTTTAAGCAACGTCTGCACCCAGTGTGGGGCTTGAACTTACAACCCCAAGATCAAGAGTCTCATGCTCTACTGACTGACGCAGCCAAGCATCCCCAAAACAGGAGTTTTCAGGTGGCTTTGTAAAAACTGTTGGCTGCTGCTTTCATATTCCTTGAACGATTACTGTTGTTATTATTGTTATTGATATTGTTTTGGGTACTCATTTGCTTAACCTCCATTCATTTCCTTTAGTCTCTTTCTCACTTTGGCATATATGTGGCCTATCTCTGGTAGGTTGGGCTTGGTAAACTGAACTAAGGCAAAGACATTGGCTTATAGACTTTGTGTCATCAGAATATCAGTTTAGATGGAAAGGATGAGAAGGAACAATAAAGGTCAAAATATTAAAGTTATATCTGAGAGTAACAATATATGAGCAAATCGCAGCTTAGTATTCTTGCATATCAGGCAAGGAAAAGCTCATTAATTCATTCTCAAACGTTGAAGAACCTGTTATGTGTCACTGTTCTGTAGATATATAGATGGGTACTATGAGGTCTTCCTTCAAGGAGTTTACAGGGGGGAGTGCTGCATAGCGAGTAAATAATTAATAAGAGCACTGTCTCTCAGGCCAAACTGCCTGGGATTCAAATTCCTGTTCTGTCCCTTACCAGACATGTGAAATCTGGACCAGTGACCTCTCTGTGCCTCATCTGATTCATATGAAAAATGTGGAAACTGGAATCAAACTACTTGGATTTAAATGCCAGCTCTATCAGTTGGTCAAGTCGTATTATCCTTCTTCACTTAACTAACGCATAAAACGGACAAAACAGAAGTCACTACTTCAAAAGGTCTTTTATTTATTTTTTAGTCATTGAACAAAGTTAAGTGTAATTAACATGCAACGTTACATCACTTTGATTCAACAGTTTTATAGGTTACTCCATGCTCAGCACAATACATGTAGTCACTACCCGTCACCATACAAAATTGTTGACTACACTCCTTATGCTGTATCTTTTCATCTCCCTGTATCATTCAAAGGCTCTTTTAAAGAATGAGTGTTCAGTGAAATAATACACACAAAGCCCTTATCATAATGCCCGGCACACACTAAGTGCTCTAGAAGGTTAGCTATTACTACTATGATACAATTTTAACAAATGCTCTAATAGAATTATAGAAAAAAATTCTATGAGAAGGCAGAGAGAGGACCAATGAACTGTCTTGTTACTTGGAAGACTTCAGAAAGGCATCGCAGAGCAGAAGATGGTTGAACCACATCACACAAGAGGGGGTACAAGGAGCTGCGGTACAGCAAAGTATACTAAAGTCAGCTCTGAGCTTGGGCGGGGGGGGCACATCCACGGTGTAGAGGGTTGCTGGGGTATATGAAAACATAAATGGACCGAAGAGGAGAATGGCACACACACTACACTGGGAAGGTCATCTTGGCTACTGACATTTTCTTCTGTTAATTTATACAACAGCCACCATATATGTGGGACGCTGGAACCTACCTCGCCGATTCTACAGGAAACTCATACCACGATTCAACACTTACTCTTAACCTACAAATAGATCTAATAAGCTTGGGTCATTAAGTTTCAGCATCCCAGCACATTAAAAACATTAAGTTATAAATGCTAGAGGCACATACACTGATGGCAGAAGTGAGATCTAAATAGCCTGACAGCGAGATAGGAAAGAAGACAAATGTACAACAGACCTGGCTGCCTGAGTCGGAACCAATCACCGTTACGACAACCAGTCAGTAGCCTCGAGAAGAGTCTGAACCAATCACCGTTACGACAACCAGTCAGTAGCCTCTGGGGCTATTTATGGGGATGATCTTCAGGCATTGAGAAACTGCTAATTTATGTAGGGAATATTCTGTTAAAAGTGTATGAAAATATGTAACACGGTTTAAATGTTAACGCACATCTTGCATAAAAAGGATGTTTTACTGCTTGCAAGGGTAATTTTAGTCATCTGGAAGATTCACTCACATGCACACCCCGGATGATGCTATATAAATTCAGCATTACTGTCTGATCTACAATATATCCAAAGTACTTTGTAGAATGTGTGTTAGATAAAAATACCAGGCCTATGTTTACATAAACTGAAAATGAGTAGAATCTTCAGTGAAAATAGAATGTCTTTCAGAAAAACTAAGCAGACGTGGTTTGGGCTTGTCATAAATACTATTATATGTCAAATAAAATTAGACCACAGGATGTGAATCTTTTCATCTTTCCAAAACTGTTAACGTACACCTTTAAAAGAACTTACCACCAGTGTATTCCTAGTCATAACGCAGTATCACTTACAGGAAAAGCATCTACGAAAAACGTATCAGTATGCTGAAACACAGGTGTGGGGGATTTCGGGATGTGAAGAGAAATGCGACTGCTTTTTCCTGGGGCTAAATCAATTCCTTTCAAAGACAAAAAGTAGCATAAGGCAAACCATAATTACAAGCAATTTATTTAGGATATACATTTCAGCATAAATGTAGATGTTCATGTCTGAAATCTCTAAGTACAGAGGACTGTTCCAAGGCTCTGGAGAGAATATCAGCACCAGAGGAAGTTGGACTCTCCAGGTATTAAAGGATCTACTGCATAAACAAGTTTTCTTTTTCCTTTGGATTTTTGGTTTTTAATCTCAATCAACATAATAATTCACTTGAAAATAAAATCTGGAAAGGTCCTTTCTACTATACTAGGTTCCTCCAAAAAAAAAAAAAAAAAAAAAAAAAAAAAAAAGAAAAAAAGAGGGTATGAGGTACCTTCTTAAGAGCGTTAACTCTTAATAAAATCAAAGGGTCACTAAAAAACAAAACAAAACAGAAACAAAATTCTAAAAACTGATGTGAAAGTTCTTAAAACCTCCCTCCCACATCATGACAAAAAAATAAAAAGCAGTAAGTACAGCCATGCCGAGGCTAGCTCCTAACCTCCTACTTTAAACTTGTCCTAGAAGGACCTTCTGATCATTTGGATCCAACTGTAAGAAAACACTAGGACCGAAAAGTAGTTTCTTCTTCCAGGGAGGAGAGTGTCATTTGGGGGAGTGAGTGGGTGACATCCTGAAATCCCTCACTGATGAGGGCCACCCTGGACAGCTGTGTGCATTGCACAAGTCCATGGGGCACCATTCGCTGGAATCACCATGCAATCGTCCAGCAAATGGGAGCAAAGTGCACTGAGGAAAGGGTGTGTGTTCCCAATCTGTACAAAGTTATCATACGGGACAGGTGCATTGCTGTCACTGACATCACATCTCCTGGTTTTCAGGGGCTGTGAAGGCCAGAGAAAAGTACAGGACGTCCCACGGGAAGCTCCTGTCACTCTCTGCATTCACTGCAGGCCCAACAGTTGTCCTTTTCCCTCTCTTGTGTTCTACCAAAGGGGGCCAATATCAGAAGTTATGACTTGGTCGGGCAGAGGGAAATACTTATTCATGACCATGGAGCCCTCAGGCAGCTAAATGATGGAACAGTTGATGTTGCTGTTAACATCCTGCTCTTTAGCTAATATTCTAATGCAAAGATAAAGAGTGCTTAGATCAAGATGGAAAGAAGTCAAGGATAAACATTCACATGGTTTTTGGCACACACGGTGTTTGGCTGGAAAGTCTGTGTTGGGACTATACCAGTTCTGTGGGGAAAAATGAAGAACAACAAGAAACAATGAACAATGAAAATCCCGTTCTGAAAGAAAATAAGAAAAAATCATAGGAAACAAAAGTGGCAACCTTACAACATCAGAAAGCAAGATAAGATGCCAGACAGACAACAGAAACATTTGAGAAGGGAGTTGGTCTCACTAAATAAGAGAAAACGCCATTATAAAACTTAAAATACTTTAAGAAACAGAAAAGATTAGAATCAACCTTGCAGTAATATATGGACTACATGATAGGGGGGAAAATCACACAGAAGGCAGAAGAAAAGCACGAAGAAAAGCAATCAGGGAAAAGAACATCCACATGCATGACAGACACAAAAACTCAACATCTGATTAACTGCCGTGCTCCGGAAAGAGAAAGGGCAAAATCAGACATCAATTTCCAAAATAATAGTGTAAAACAAAAAAACAAAACAAAACAAACTTTACTGAAATGAAGCTTTGAATTTGCTCCTCTGCCACCGTCTTATGTATGTGTATGTACTTCGGGTTTGAATAATCCTGGAAGGCCTCAGAGGAAACTGATCAGTTTTAGTCTCTTTCAGAAAACCTAAGTAAGGCAGATGTTAGAAAATCGAAGTAAGGTTGAAACCATGATGCCTTTATTGTTGGTTATCTCAAAAGCTGTTTTCTAAAGGGCTAATACCCAAAAAGGGGCACAGTAAAGGAGAAGACATAATTTATTTCTAAGATGATTTGTTTTTAATTTTTTATTTATTTTATTTTTTTAGTAGACTTCGCGCCCTGCGCGGAGCCCAATGCAGAGCTGGAATTCACCACCCTGAGATCAAGACCTGAGCTGAGATCAAGAGTCGGACGCTTAACCAACTAAGCCACCCAGATGCCCCTATTCTAAGGTTATTCTTAAAAGACACGTCTCAGTCTTACATGTTATGTAGGGAAATGAAAGAGTCCAAAGGGGAGAGCACATTCAAACCACTCGACCCAGAGGGCTGGAGAGAGCTTTTTTGCCCGTCCTCATCTCATTCACCGCAGTTCAAGAGAACTTTTCTACTAGGAACGGACTAAACGGTATTAATCGTAACTTTTATCTGAATAATGAGATTTCGTAAGATACCTCCACAGATCTGCTCTGTTGGCCAACGTATACTGTTACACATAAATAACCAGCGGACTGGCATGAGGGCAGCAGCTGCTGGAGAAACTAGCCCCTCAGAACGAAGAGTATAGAATGTAGTGGTGGAGATCAAAGAAACGCCGGGGGCCTGTTGGTGGCTCTCTTGTCATCCGAAACCCACCAGAGACTGAATTTAGAGTCGTGGTAGGTGGAAAGTGATGGCAGTGAGATGCATTCCCATCACCACAACTATTTGCTTCTCAAACCTGCATCTAAAGCTAAATACGTGGGGAAGGAGGGGCAGCAGAAATGCTGGGATTTGGGGCTATGCTGAACACGTGAGAACCATCCACATGGTTCTGGTTATATATAAAATGCTCCATGGATTTCGAGGATTACTTGTAATGCAGGAAAAAATGTGACAAAGGAATTAAGAGCAATGAGTGATGTGAAGAGGATAAAAGAGATCTTTGAAAGCTGATGACTTCTGTTAAAACATTTCCCTAGTTTATTGCCTTTAAAGCAACAGGTGCTTCACCATTCTGTCTCTAGTTTTTATCCATGAAGTGACAAATTCGAAAAAGTTAGCTCTCTGTTCTTTGTTGAACATTCTTTGCTTTCTGCATTCCCAGGAAGAAAGTGAGAAAAGAAAGAGCCTTCCTTACAATGCTTTCAATATATCCAATATACCCACAATGCATTAGACCAAACGTAGTAAAACCGTATTCATTTGGGACCTTTATTTTGGAATTTGTAACAATCTGGATACCATATTATTGCTTTGCTGTCTTTGAACTTTCTGTGGCCCATCTGAAAGACTATCTTTTCTTCCTAAAGAAAACTTTTACAAGTGGAAAAATTTCAGTCATTAGAACTTTCTGATTTTGTTCTGAATTGGGGGAGAATTCATCGTATATGAAAAAAAAGTCCTGCCAGACTAAATTAGAAATATTAACTGCATAAGCTATACTTCACAATAAACTCTACAAAATGAGAGAATATTAGCCAAGGAGACAAAAGTCGCTCTTAGAAGACCCTGAAGTGCCGGGAATGACTCTGGCTGGCTTCTGATCGTTGTCTGGTCTAGTGAGGGCCTAGCCTAGACTTCTTTCCAGAGACTAGAAGAACGCTAGTGTGACTTTCCTTGGATAAGTGCAGTAATGAAATGGCATATGCTTATATTAACTTAAAAAAAAGCGTAGAGTTCCGTGTAGAGAGGAGTGGCCACTGGCAGGGGACGCTGATGAGTAAAAACATAAGCGCCTTCTCTTCGAGTAACTGCTTTCTCTCTCCTGATGAGATCAGTGAACAGAATACTCACTTTCTCTTCTTCCATAATTACCTTGCAGGAAGTACATAACAACTACATAAACTTCTGTTTATGCTCTTAACAAAAAGTTTAAATTAGGCTTCATATGATTTAAAAAAAAAAAAAAGACTAGAGTCTCGACTTAAAACTACAATCCCAAGTTTCATCAATATCACTCATTGCAACCATAACTAAGTAACATTTTCCAAGGGAATGACTGAGTCACTTCAGTTTATTTCCCCCGGCTCCCACAGGAGAAGGTAAACTACTTTGTGAACTCTTGCTAAAACTATTCAACACCAACTTATTTAACAAACACCAGGCATCTCCTCTGACCTGGCATTGTGTGGAGATAAAATAAAGAGGCGCTCACTTTCTAGCGGGGGAGGCGTAATGGAATGGAAGGTGGGAGGTGCTAGACAGAAGTAGGAAAGGAGCACCTAGCGGTTTGCAAATGTGCATGTCTCACCGATGATCAATTTCAAACTATGGCCATTATTTTTCCCCTGGTATTTATCACCCATGACATTGTGACTTCTTACTTTTCAAAATGAGACATGCATCAGACTAGTATTTTTCAAGATGATACAATTAAGTTGAAGTAGGAAGTTAGAAACAGGTCTGGTATCAGTAAATTTATTTGGATTCTGGTCTCTCTCCTTTGGGCAGCAGAGCAGTAACAAAGAACCTTTTGTGGTGGAAGCTGTGGTCTAATTTCTGCAACGAACTCATCCATGCAAAAAGTTCTCAAAACTGAGAATTTCAGGTAAGCCCGGAGAAAGTGCTGCTATCAGAGGGCTGAGTCACAAACAGAGGCTGCTGCTAAAGAAAACAACATTTAGGACACCGTATCCTGCAATAAATGACCCAGTCTGGAGTAAAGAAGGGATGGGCCCTTCTCTCCTCCCTCCCACCCCTTTGTGGGGAACAGCTGCAGTCTGTAGCTGTAAAGTATTTTATAGTTTGGGACTGCAGAAGGAAAGTAACTCATTCCTATAGTACTTTGCACTGCTTTCTCCCCCGACTGCCACATTCTCTGTGATCTACTCAGACTTCCATCCCCAAGTCCCAGGAAAAGGCTGTCTGTCCCCTCAGTTAAAAGAACACTCACTGTGTGGATGGCCACGTAAAGCTTGTGGCTGAATACTGACAGCAGTTTGCCTGGCACCAAGTTCCTTTAGCCCCATACCCTAACCCTACACAGAATTTGGTCAAAGAGTGGAATTATTTTTTGAGAACAGCAATTTGTTGCTTGCATATAAACAGAAATTGCATCCAAAACAAAAACAAATTTTTAAAAAAACCTTCAAATAAATGGAAAGATAACAAAAGCCTGAAAGAAGGGGCAGATTTGCAATTTATTAAAAACAAAACTATATTTCTATTTAAAACTTCCCTTGGTAAAATAAATAAATAAATATTCCATTGGTACTATTATTATTAAGAACTAGGTCTTTGTGTAAAATAAATATTGTATTAATTTAAAATGTCGGGGCGCCTGGGTGGCTTAGTCGGTTAAGTGTCTGACTTTGGCTCAGGTCATGATCTCATGGTCTATGGGTCTTTAGGTTCGAGCCCTGTGTTGGGCTCTGTGCTGGCAGCTCAGAGCCTGGAGCCTGCTTCAGATTCTGTCTCTCTCTCTCTCTGCCTGTCCCCAGCTTGTGTGCTCTCTCTCTTTCAATAATAAATAAATAAACTTTAAAAAATTATTTAAAAAAATAAAATGTCAACCTTAGTTTTGTTCACTGCTAATATGACTTTCCTGAAACTGATGTTTGCTCCTGTGTCCTTAAGCTTCCGCATTTACCCGGCTACCTGTGATGAGCGTCGATAAACCTTACTGCGTACCTTTCCAGAAGACAGGTTAAATAACCACTTACTCTGCTTCTGACTGTAGTCAAAACACTTCACAAAGCTAAGATGTAACATAGTTACTTGTTTCTGGTCCCTTTTTTCATTTGGCTAACTTACTTATTCCTCTAGGAATCCTTCCTCAAGTAGCCACTTTGGGTTAGGTAGCCTCTCAGGTAGGAGCATAGCGAACCCAGAGTAAACTTTCATCAAGCTCTGTGCTGGAATCGTCC